AGTCCAGTTCTGACATCAAGCCCTGGAGGAGGAGGCTGGTACGAGGTTTTGGGCCGGCTCACCCCTTGGTACCACCACGGTGGGTGCACTGAAGAAGATGGTGTTGGATCAGGGGCCTTTGTCCCATGTTTCCTAGGCTGCTTCCTCCCACTGGCAGGAACACTCAATGGACTGTCAGCCCAGGACAACTGGGCCAAACTGAAGCGGGACTATCCTGATGTCCTCATCACCAACTATTATCTCTGGCCTGCTGTGCAGTTAGCCAACTTCTACCTGGTCCCCCTTCATTACAGGCTGGCTGTTGTCCAGTGTGTTGCTGTTGTATGGAACTCCTACCTACCCTGGAAGGCGCACCAGCTCTAAGTCTGTCTTGCTCCACTGTGTTTGCACATTGGAGTGATGCATCTTGACTCTGGAATGGCCAGCCAGCCTCTTCAAAGAGAGCACTTCAGGGGCTGGAGAGGAGGCTGAGCTGTTAACAGTGCTCTTCCAGAGGACCTGAGTTCAGGTCACAGCACCCACATGGGGCAGCTCACAACCACCTATAACTCCCAACTCTAAGGACTCCAATGTCCTCTTCTGGCCTCCATGGGCCCTGCACTCACACGTACATACCTACATACAAACATACACATCATTTCAAATAAAATTTTAAAAAATTTCTAAGGTCATAATTTAGTCAACTAGTTTAAGAAACAAAATATATATCTAGTCAAGGTTTATCTGAGAATATGTGTTTTTTTTATCCAAGCTTTATCTACATAGCACATGGTAATTAAAAGTACCAGACTGGTGGAACTAACCTTATTGGATGTTTAACAGCCACAGTTTGAGGCCTATGCTAATGTGGTCAGAGGGACTTGAAGGACAGTTTTTTCCTCCTTGCCCTCCAAGGTCAACTAAGTTCCAAGGGACTAGGGAACATCTCTCAAAATGTCCTGGAACTATGGTGAGTTACCTGTCCTCTTGTTCACAGAGGACATGGAGACCCCACAAGATGGACTTGAACCAGTGTCCAGTCTACAAAGAGAAGGGACAACTCAGAGGAAACATCTCATCTATGCTTCCAAGTGAAGCCAGACATGGTTGAGCAGGACCTTTGACTTGTGACTTGTCTTCACATAGATGGAACTGGTTTAAAAAAAAAAGGAGCCAGGAGTTCCTCCCAAGTGTTAGGGTTCCAAACAGCAGCAGCTTCCTCCCTCCCCAACAGGGACCTACAGGCTTTGGAGCCCGAAAAAGGGAACTGAGCTGAGAAGCACCTTGACCTTTGGAGTCAAGGGAAACAAACTCTGCTGAGAAGCAGCCTGCCTTTCCTCTGACCTCCAAAGATGGGATAAGCAGATTCCACCTGATAACCAGGGATTTTAGATGCTGTTTTTCTCTTATCTTAAGAGGGAAAAAGTAAACACTTCCAGACCCTAATCCTACCTGCTTTTCCTGCTTCCCCCTCCCTGATTTCTCCCCCAAACATTCCTCCCTTCTACACCCTAAAGCCCCCATATATAAAGTCTCAGCTCACAACCGGTGGGCTGACATCTTTCCCTTCCCTTCCCTGACATTCCCTTCCCTGACATCTTTCCCTTCCCTGACATCTTTCCCTTCCCTGACATCTTTCCCTTCCCTGACATCTTTCCCTTCCCTGACATCTTTCCCTTCCCTGACATCTTTCCCTTCCCTGACATCTTTCCTTTCCCCAAAGGAAATGTGTCCCGTGCGAAATAAAGCTGTATCCCGCTGAGAATTCCATCTGTGCCTTGGTGCCTCCTCCATCCATCCACTCGCCCTCCATCCCAACATTTTTATCTATCACCAAGCTTATGTGACCCCTAAGGAACAGATTAAAAAAAAATCTTACATTTCAGAGAAATTATCTTTATTAGCGGAGTCTTCTCAAACGACCTTAAGTGTAAACATAAATTGATTCATTTGGGCCAACTGTATGGTCTTACACACCCAAAAGGAAAGTATAACCAAAGAGTAAAGTCATCAGTATACTTCTTTAAGTGTTCAAGGGATTATACTTCCCAGACATTAGGCTTAAGTCTATGTAAAAAGCTATTTAGACAATTATTTCTCATTGATGATTTTGTTCCTAATCAGAAAGTGCTGCTCAGATGTAAGACTTCAAATCTTGGTCTCCAATACTGCAGTGCCCACCTGTAGCTGAGGGAGACAACCAGCCATTGTTCTAAAATGATGGATAAATTTGTTTTCTCCCCCTATCTAGAAGCTTTTGAGAGGGAACTGACACTGATTCTA